GGATCATTGTTTGGTATGTTTGCTTATGACCGGGATTTCTCTAAGATAATCTTCGTGTTTTGTAATATTTGTTTTTTCTTTTCTTTTTTTCTTTTTCTCTATTTGATACTTGTGTTTACATGTACTATAATAATACACTTTATGAATCTTAAAAGATAAGACAAACTAAAAGAGGCGCTATATGCAATAGGTTGATACACAAGTTTTTTTGTGATTTAGGAAATTCATTTTCAACAGTACTCAGTGAACTTGGCTTAGAAAGGACTTTTCATCTTCCTCATTTTCACCTTTGTGTGATTCCCAGTAATTAAAACCAAAACGGCTGATTCTGAAATGCTATCATGTTGAACAAATATTACTTTTTCTTCGCCACGAATAAAATGGAAATATTTTTTAACTCATTTCCCCGGTTCGTGCCTCCGACTAGATCAAGGATTAAATGAAATATGCTCCCGCATACAAATTTTCAAATCTTTTTTTCCGTTTTGGCATCATTTCATGAGTTATTTGAAAAGCATTAAATTCTCGGGTTCCCTTCTCTATGATCTTATAGCATCCGTTGGATTAAAAGTGTATCCTCTGGATTATGCATTATCATTTTGATGTCAAACTTTTGAGAGAAGTAGAAAATCTAAATCATGATCTCTTTTGGTCATTCATTATACAGTAGACATGTTTTTGAATAACAGATAGGATATTGCATTTACATATATACAATTTAGTATTTTGTAAAAAATCGCCCAATGGTCAATCCAGTAAATGATGCCACCTATTGACTATGATGTCATTTGTACAAGAGACTATGTCTGACATCTCATAATCATTTAAACATGTACAATAAAATACAATTTTTTTCATAATAATATATTTCAAAATACCATAATATATAAAATTCATATAAATATCACTATATTCCATTGCTAATACATCAACTATTTCCACAAGCAACTAGCTATATGTTAGACTATAATAGATTGTTACCTTTGGCCATTATACAGTGAAACTAACAGTAAAACCTGTCTAATACCATTTCAAAATGGCAGATATCTGTCTGTTAAAGAAGTAGTCCACCAGAAAGTTTTCCCTCTTCAATTTAGAAAATATTTCATCACAGTATCTAGTGATGTAAATTCAACCAAATAATGACAGAAAATATTTTGGTGGAATAACTCTTTAAATATATATATATATATTCACATTTTAATGTGATCGCATTTGCATATTTAATAAACATAAGCATACAAATTTCCCCAAGATATAAATTCTATAAAAGAGACATTTTGCTCTGAATGACAAATCAATAGAATTGATCATATTAGAAACTTTCAAATAATACATTTATTAAAAGAATTAGAAAGAATACAAAGTATTAAAATGTGCTTAAAATGTTTTACAGCCAAATTTTCTAATGTTATATCAATGTTTTTTGATAACTTTATTTCCTGAAAGAAAAATTGAAATACCTGAAAATTTTTTTAACTTATTTCTATCCATTCTAGTTCCTTTAATAAAAGACACAAAAAATCACATGTTCTATATCGCATAAACACTATCTCGTTTAACATTTAACTTGTCCATATTGTTTATTAAGTACAATACATGTTGTACATATTGTGTACTAACTACAATACTTGAGTTCAATTGTCAATATACACAAATATCTCAATACAGTCTAGCAAGTTTAACCAGAGGCTTAACATTTACTTATTTTGGCACCAGATCTCAAATTAATTTTTTGCGATTTTCAGAATAATGGTTTCGATTTTATTTAGTTATAGTCTGATATGAAAATTGGTGGAAACTTACTTAATTGAGTCTATTTCAAAGAAAAAATTATAATTGACCCACATTGAATAAAAGAATAATGGTGCAGAAAAAAGGCTAATGTAGGAAGGCACACAACAACCTAAACCTATGTAAATCATAGAGACAAAAGTAAAAATTCAGAAATGTCATTAGAATTTAGATAGACTTGCATTTTGAGGTGTCAAGTCTTTCTTTCCAGAAAATGGTGATAGTGGCTCAGTAAGATTACGTTGCTTTCAATTTAAAAAATTTTTGAAACTGAAATATTTCCTAATGTTAACCGCATATTCCAGATGGCATATCACAGTGTAACAATATGCCAGTTGTCAGACAAACTTTATTTCAATGTTTCCTTTTTAAATAAAATTATGAAAAGCATTTGATTTAACAAAAAGAACATACACCTTATGTGTCAGAACATTTTGAGGCAAAATCAAAGCACCAAAAATGTCAATTCTTCAACAAGGTTTTACAACGGATGACAATAACGGTAATATGATCTGACTTTTGTATTAGCCCAAACCCAAGTACTAAATCAACAGTGGGCATTTAGGGAAGTTTAGAAAGCCCCTGTTTGGTAAATATGAACTTTTGATGTACCCACGTTCAAAATGGCTTTTTGTTCATGCTTAAATCATTCAATTTCCCTCTAAAATTTGAATAAGGTGTTTGATTAAATGACATTTTTACAAAATTCAGGGTGTTGATGTCGCAATGATGTAAAATATATCTTGATTATTCCACAATTTTTCATAATATCTAAAAAGAAAAATATGACCTTCGCAAGATTTATTCGTGAGTAAGTGTTAAAGCTGTCCTTGTCATAGACTTTCTGCTGCCAGTGAGTAGGCCCACCCAGAACTTAAGAGTTGCAGACGATCAGCCTTAATTCACTCAATTTCTCTCTAAAATTTGAATAAAGTTTCAAATTTTCTCGCATGTTTACACAATTTAGAGTTTCATTTTTACACCTATGTACTTTATTCCTTGCTGATTCCACTCTTTTCTTTACAATTTTGCATTTAAAAACATGACCACAAATTTGTTCTTTTACAGGTAGATGACAATAAGACGCAGTAAACACAAAAGGCGGCAAACAAACAATCGGCAAAACCTCCCCTTCAAACGTTCAAAATTACAGTTAACGTCATACTACATACTCTTTGCCATATCGAATTTCAATTTGCGAATATTCTTAAAAAGCGACCTCACGATTTTCGATATAAGTGGACATTATAACGTATAAGCAAATACTTCTTTGGACTAATTTGAAATTCACTTTGGTATGGAGATCGTGAGAATAATCCGATATCCGTCCCATTTGACAGTTATTTGTGACAGAACATTTTCAAAGCCTATTTTTGATTTAATAAGACCCCAGCATCAATTATAATGCATTATATCATATAACGCAAAATGTGCTCATTAACATGTAATGTAGCCACCTAAATAGCTCTAGTACAACTTCATTGCAAAAATGATGATTATATAATGGTCTGAGAGTGTAGTAAAGTATGGTATAGCATAGTATAGTTACAATATAAAAATACAATTTTCGTATTTAATTTCATGCAGTACCGAATTTTTAAAAGAAATCTAGCACCCAGCATTTCAAAGTATTCCCTTTAGAAAGGTATTTACAGCCACATGTTTTACAATATTTGGTCTGCGACTAATACACAGTGGTGAAATTCAAACATACACTGTAAATAATTATTGGAAATGTTTGGTTTATATCGCAATGCTTCATGACTCGGATTTACCTTATCAATAATATTGAGATATCAGAACAATAAATGTGACTAAATACTATATATTTGACTATATGTGACTATAATATCAAGCTGATGTCAAGAAAATTAATATATGACTATACATTAAACAACATGATGTGATATGACTATAATATCTATAGATCAACAATTTTTTAACAATTATCATTGGACGGATATTGTCTATTGCTTTGCAATTTTAAACGATGTACATATTTATAATATCTGATTATAATTTTAAATCATATATGGATGGAGTTTTTATTTTGGCTTCGATCAAAGAAGAAATATGCATCAATACTCTGATTTTGTTAATTAAACAATTAATTTAATTATTCTGGTATTTATCTACACAATTGCGATGCAGTTTACTTCTTGTAAGCATATACCTTTAATATAATGTAATAAATATATTCTATGTACAAAAATTATGAAAAAAACGTTCATTCATGACTACACGATCCTCAAACATTACCCTCTGAGAAGTTAAAGATAAAGTCCCACTGAAATTTTCCACAGAACACCAGTACAGCAATGAGACTGTATCTTTAACTTTGTTATGGTTTTGATTTATACAAAATTATCTTTTAAAATATACAATTGCAACATTTTGAATTTTTACATATTATGCTTATTTTCAGAAAATATCTAGAGTATTTAATACCAAGAGTATTTAATACCAAAAGTATTTAATACCTATTATTTTTAAAATACAATGTGAATGACAAAATTTAAAGGATTATAATACTAACATAAAAACATGCTTGTGTGAAAAAGGGGAAAATTATGTTCATTAGTTTAAGATAATAAGAGCATTATAATGTTTATTATCAAAGGTGAGTTAAGTTTCAAATAAATGAGAAATGAATCAGTGTTTTCATTACAAGTGAGACTTTAAGCTATTTTGTCATTCATCCAGTATATACATTGTTGACATTACACAAATATAAATGCATGATTTTGTTGATTTGATTTAATATAATGTACAACTCTAATAGTTGAAAAAAGTGGCATGATGCTCAGGCCCATAGATAGCTTTTGCAAAAGGGGGGGGGGTCACCTTCAAAATGTTCCAGGGGGTTCACCTTTCAAAAAGTCGAAGGGAGTTTACATTTTGCAACTTTGACCTAAAATTGCTTGAAAGTGGTCAGAATAGTGAAGAACTGCAGGATTTTGAAAGAATTTTTGGTCAAAGGGAGGGTTTACATGACCATCATCCCAGTTTTCATATAAGGTATTAGAATAATTCATGTCATGGATGGAATCATTATTTCAGATTGTATCATTGATTGAAAGGGATATTCCTTGTGACCCCAATTCTTATATGGTAGCTATCACCATTTTTAAATCATCAATTTTGACCATATCAAAACATTTTCCCAAATATGCTAAGTATTGATAGTAAAATGATGGTCATAGCTATCATATCAAGAGAGAAATGGACTTGCAGGGAATATCCCTTTAAATAATTCATGTGACCGTGTTCACAAGATTACGTGAGATCACTGCCTTTCGCACTTTAAATCAGGAATTCATTTATTGTTGTCTTCCGAACAGATTTATGATACTGTCTCCTTTCTTCAAATTTAAGGAGTTTTTGATATTAAACTGAACTGTGTGAGCTTCAGACGTGAACGAGCATGTTGAAAGAGCTGGGCCTGAATGAGCTTCAGTTACTTGGCGAGCTTGCAGTTTGTGTAAGTTTCCTCCGTAAAACTACGACCAGTCGTTCTAATCTGAAAATTAAGATGTAGGTTAAAACAAGTAGAATACTAAGATATAGTTGATTCTTAAATTCTTGATTTATCATAGTAATACTGTACTTTAAATTTAAAAGAATTAGGCCGGAGAATGGGAACCAGGGGTCGAGGTAAGGACTAGTCTACTGGTCATTGCCAGGTTTGGTATGGACCAGTTTTTAGTGGGTATAGGAAAATAACATAGTAACTGGTCTATTATGTCATTTTGACCAGTTGCTCTCTGATTCTAGCTGTAGTGCCCTGATTAAAAGCAATCTTACTGGCAGTGAGTACATCTACCATTTAACCTCTTTGAATGAAAGTGTTAGGCCATACCAATAATTCATCTAAGCAGGCCAAAAGTCTAATATTGAGACAAATAGCACTGACAAATTATTGAGTATGAACTCGTTGAACAGTGTTTGCATCAGATTGTGTTTCAATATAATCGCATTTACCCATCGTAAACTATAACAAAATATCATGGAAAAAATCACTATAGTAGTGTTGTAATAGCCGTACTACATGCGTAAAGTATATTGAACTTAGTCATAAAATAACATAATGCAAATATATAGGCGTCCTAGGTCAATTTATTTAGCCAAACTTCAATGTTTGAGCTTCTATTTTCTAGTAGGATTTTATGTGTTTGAAACAAATTAATCTATAAAATGTTCAAATTAACTTAATATGTCGAAGCTGTGTATATATATTTGCATTTTATCTCTTATTGTTTACCCCCGGGGATTGACTCGAGAGCAGAGAATTATTGTGGTCATAGACATTTTACGGATTTTCTCGCAAGAATATAAAAGAATTTCCAAATTTTCTTGCATCTCTATACAATTCGAAGTGTGGACTACATGCCGGTTTATTTTATTCCTTGTTAATTCCACTCTTTTCCATGGAATTTTGCATTCTAAAACATACCCCCGTGACATGTAAATGTACATTGATTGTTGAGTTTTGTCCTTTAATCAAACATTTAATTTCTTTTAATATTTAACTTATGTTCAGTTGCCTCGGTTTAAATCATGAACCCACTTCGAAAAATCATTTCATTTCAAAATTCTCCAAAAAACCACATGGATTTACCATTAGCGAGAACTGGAGTTTCATAATATTTCTGTTGAAAAGTTGGTGTTTCGATTATACTTTTGAGTTGTATGCACTAAGTACAGTATTTGCAAGATGACATTATAGAGATAAACTACATATTACAGATCAGGAAATGAAAATAAAATTGCAATGACATTTCTAGTCTGTGTGTATACTTTCTGACTCTGTGTTCATAAAATACATAGAGAACATGATGATACGCCTACAGTTTCATTCAGATAGCCATACAGAATATTTTCTAGGAACTGGTGAACATTTACTCGTTATTAATGATTTGGAATTTTTGATGGATGCTTTTTTGCAATTTAATATTAAGGCAAAAATTAAGATGTAATAAGTTTCTAGAAATAATCATCGTTTCCTGCTTGTATTTCAGCATTCTCTAAAATCTGAATAACTGCCTTTGTATGACTGTTTACTTTATTTCTTGCCGATTCCACTCTTTTCCACTCTTTCCACTCTATTCAGCATTTAAAAACATGATTGCCAATGTATATAATAAATAAAATACAGATTACTGATGTATATGAGCTCTTAAATTTCATTTTCTCATTTTTGAAATGTTTAAGAGATGAGTACCCTGCGTGCAGAGTCTAGTTAAACTACACTCTGCCTAGTAGAGACCATATTACAGTTTAGTAGCCCCGCCCCCATGACGGGCACCGGTGATAGTTTGGGAAATAAATCACATGACCTACGCGCTGACCTTTCTTCCACCAATCAGCGAGCTTGAAGAAACATACGCTAAATGCGTTCTAATTAAATATGCGCATGTCATTGGTCAATCCCGGGCTCAACGATGACGTCAGAAGGAATGACCATATATAGAACGTCGGTCAAATTTGGCCGACGAACACTGATTGGCGCGGTGAGTTCACAGGTTTATTTTAGTTTGAAAGAGTGAAGACGAAGCTCTCTTTTAAGAAGTGAAGTCAAACGAATGCAAAGGGTAAGAGATGAGCAAAGGATGTTTAAATATCCAGAGCAGATCATCCTAGCCTATATACTTATCTATCTCTGTCATTATGTGGCTTAGCACGAAGCCAATAGCAAACATGCGAACAATTTAATAGCACAAAATTGTGTTTTATATCAGATATATATTTCCTTAATGGTTAAACAAAGGTTATCGCCTCTATATATGAAAATAAAAATTTATCACGCTAGTTATTTTGATTCCACAATTTTCTCTGAAAATTTAAATAATCTGCCTGATTTAATGGAAGCTGGAATTTGTTCATTTGTTGGAGATTAACTGTAAGCAACAATTTATGTAGTCATGGATATTTCACAGTTTTTCTCTTTAAAATTTGAATGAACTGCAAGATTTTCTTGCATTTCTATACAATTTAGAGCGTTCTCTACATGCCTGTTTACTTTATCCCTTTCTGATTCCACTCTTTTACAATCTATTTTAAATTTTAAAATATGACCATCATTAATCATTCGTACAATATATTAAGGTCTTTATTACAATATCTGTGTATTTATTCAAGTTATTTATGTTAAGTAAGACAAGTACAAATCTTTACAAAACTAAGCTCCTATATCTGATTTCTTAAATGATTTCCTCCGCGATATATTATTTGAAAAACTACCAGATTTGATCGGAAGGGTGGTCCATGCGTCAGGATGAATATGTAATCCAAGAGACTCAAAATTCTGGACAATTATTTATATTCTCAATAAGAAATGAATGAATGGCAATTTACCATTTTTAAGGAATTCATAGTTATTTTAAATATTCTGGCATCAAACCCACTTTCTAAAGGAATCATAATTATAAAATTTGGCAAAAAGTGAACATTTTACAAATTCAATTCATTTTTATGCTCTCCAAATGCTGCCTTTTTTATCCAAAAATTGATAGAAACTATGATCATGAGATAACTTGGGTGGCAATTTTTAGTGGTTTGGGTATTTGAACTTCAATGTTTATGAACATTTTCCTCTTTATAATTCAAAAACGGCAAACAAGAAAAGTGAGCTGAAGATAGATTGTGGTGAGACTTATGGAACTTGAATACATTTTGAAATAGATCGTCAAAAACAAACTCTAGTTTAGTTGTAACCTAGTACATAGTCATACAATGATACCTTGGTGATTCACCTTTGAGTCGAAAACATCACCTGAAGTGGTCAACCCATGATGAAAATAACACGACAGTCATGTTTTGAAACGCAAAATAGAGTAGAAAAGAGTGGAATCAGCAAGAAATAAAGTAAACAGACATGTAGTCAATACTCTAAATTGTATAGAAATACAAGAAAAACAGGCAGTTCTTTCAAATTTTAGAGAGAACTACAGTGAAAATCGGCATGACCACCATATCACTTTCCTCAAGGTTTTGGTAAAAACTATACAGCACTGACACCAAGTAATTTAATAGATGTGTACACAATTTCTTAAAAGATGCTGTAAAAATTGAATTGAAGCACTTTTAAAACTGAACGAGAAAATTGATGACTCAAAAAAATTATTGACTCTGAAATAATATTTACTCTGGACAGTGAAAAAATTAAGGTTTAAAATTACACGTCAAAATTCTTCTTGAGTATATGTTAATTTTTTTAAATGATTGGCGTTTCAGAGTGCTGTATGACAGAATCTAGCATTTTCATTATTGCAAGAAGTTTGACCTCAATATATGCCTTATATTACAATGTGATACGCTATAATACCACGCAAATAATGTGAAATATGGTTTAAACCATAAACACACTACTATACCTTGCATTTGGTGTTCATGAGAAACCCATTTGGCTTATTAGTAATGATTATGTATTTGTTTTTATTTGTCTGTTCCTTATGAATGGTTTATCGGTTGAAAATTAGATGCTAGTAAGGCACTTTCAAAAATATATTAAACAATTCAATTAGACAAACAAAGTATCTTATGCATTTCTAGGTGTTAGGTATAGTAGTGTGATAAATGTGATACAGTTTCAGATTTCTTATTTTAAAATATTTTCCTAACTTAAATATAATATATGATTCATATGTTATATATTGCTTGTATTACTATTAAATATTTATACGATCATGCGTAAAGCATTTCAAAATTATTTTCAAAGTTAATGAACCTTATATATGAGCTGGAGCGATTTCATGTTTGAATGCCCTCGTAAGATTGTTATCGGAAAATTTCGTAAAATCCCAATATTTAGGAGTTAAGATATTCAAATTCAGATTTTTTGACACCCCAGAAAATTTCAGGGAAATTTAAATTTATTTATCACAATTCATAATCGGGGAAACAATTGCTTTATTAGGAAAAGTAGTTTTATATTACACATCAAGCAATGGTTTTATGTGTGTTTATATGTTTGCGTTACACATAGTTTAAAGTCACGGGACATTTGTTATGGCAAATACAATATTTGCCGATATATTTCAATACAATATAATAGATTATTATACCGTCACTAATGACTTGTAGATCATTTGTTGCCATATGGAATAATAATATGAAAAACAAAAAGGACTTCTTGGGTAAATATGTGATATGCATTACATTATATTATATGTTATGTATTACACTTAACATACAAGAACATTTGCATATTTGTAAAGAAATATAATAGAAATTACCCACAGTATACCAAAGAGTACATGAACTTGTACAAGTTCCATGTTACTTCCTATAAAATACCCTAAAATGCAATAAAAAATTGGAATATCTATTTTCCCTGAAAGTACCAAAATACCCACAATCCACCACAATAAAACAACAGAGAATACCCACAATGCACTGTTAATCAAAATTTACTTTTCTTTCTCCTGTGTGGCTACACTCAAAGCAGCATGGGATTTTTGAAGCTCCATTTGAAGTTGATCTTTCTCCTGCAAGACCCCTTTATAGTTCGCTATAAGGGTGTTGTTTTCTTTCTGCGCCACCATCACGTAGCTGTCTCTCTCCTGTAGCTGCTGTTCAAAATTCTCCAGGGAGTTGTTGAACTGATCCCGGAGGTTCTTCTCTTGTGATAGAGATTTGTGAAGACTGAAAAATATTTAAGAATTTTTTTAAAATTTCAGAATTTCACTTTTTCTCCTGTAAAGTGATAAATGTAAATATAAAATAAATTAGATTAAATAAAACTAATTTGAAAGATTTGCTGAAGAGATCCCACATATTTTCTACCATGAAAGTGATTTGTACAGACAGAAATATATAAGGTTACATCTTTAAAATTTATTTATTAGAAGAAGATTGGGAGTCGGCATTGACCAGAGAACCAGGGACTCTACTTGTCCCAAAGATTCTATATTCTGGAAGTGTAAATAAAAATATTTGGCAAGTAAATCTAGTATTGCAATCAAGTCCTCTAACAACTATCTGAGAAATTTCATAATATCTTTAATCATATCTTTACTTAACTAAACCAACTCACATAACCCTTCCACCTCTAATTATTCCATAAAGAAAAACAATGGACCAATATTGACCCTTGAGGGACTACATAATTAATCCCGATATGAATTTCTATACAAATTAAAGCAAGTTGTCCCTATGAAGGGTTAGGTGTCTGTAGAAATTAACACCTGTATTAGTTTTAATGAGAATCAAATAAATATTAAAGGGAATAATGGGCACCGGATTATGGATTATCGTCAGGTCAGTTTTAACTGTAATCAGGTGTTAATTATTATTTCAAGTCGAAATTGAGAGATGAATAGAACATTCGAGTTGGTACACAACCTGAGAAAACGTACCAAAATAAACAATATCGTACCTTTTTTAGATACAATAAAAATTGATAATGTTGATCAAAAGGGGAGAGCCTCTGATTGAGTATTCAAATTAGGTATGCATTAAGTGTATAAATTCAACTTTTCTACAATATTTTTTTCTGAAGAGCTGCACTGCAGGGTTTTAAGTCTTTGATAAATTTGGCTGACATTTCCAGAGGGTTTATTAATTTAATAAATCTTAAAATTAAAGTGTTATCAAAACCAACACATACTGTTGACATCTGACAAGTTTGGACAGCGTAAGTGAAGAAAAAAGTTGGCAATATTTTCTGAACCTGTATTATGGGGATTGGAAGCATAGTTGTCACAATATTTTCAAATTCAAGCAATTACTCTTCGGATTTTTATTCCTCAGACTGTATCCGAGCAACAGGTCCAATAACATGTTTTTCCCATAAGAGGACAAACGTGGTAGTCATGCTTTAAACACACTTTTTCTCTTTAAAATTTGAATAAACTTACCATTTTTTTGCAATTCTATACAATTAAGAGTGTTGGCTACATGCCTAATTAATTTATTCCTTGCTGATTCCACTCTTTTCTACTCTATTTTGTGTTTCAAAACATGACCGTCGTGATATTTTTTCTACTGGTGTTAAGTGCCAACATATTTCCATCATATAATTCCATTAATTGCTGGCAATAATCAGTATCTATGGTATTAAAGCTATAGCTAAGTGACTCAACAATTACCAGCCCACTAGAGATAAAACGTGTCAATGGCCACGTTTTGATATCAAAAATTCAGAGCTCAAGAGTAAAATCAGCCAGCAATGGAGTAAAAGAGCCAGCTTTTCGAAAAATCCAGGGGTGCTCACTTTTGAAATATGTAGTCCAAAATCACTTGAAAAGTGCTAAGAATGGTGAAAAACTGCATGATTTTGAATGAAGCTTTGGCAAATACAAGGGTGGTTCGCTCGAACACACCAAAGCTACGGTCATGACAATAATGTAGTCGATACTAGATAATCAGTTTAAAACGATATTTTATATTTCAATTTTTCATTGAAGATCTACATAAAGTATGTGGGAGTACATAGTACATACCTGTAGAATATGCGAACATTCTGAAGTTCCTCTTCAAGTTTTGTTACCCTGGCCAGAGCTATGTCTCTCTCTTGAGATGTCGCCATTAGCTTGGCCTGAAAGTATAAGAACAGTAGATTAAATATACTAAATAATTATTTTCTCCGTAGACATACAAATATAAGTTCAACACAGAAATAAAATATTAAATAAATATTTCTAATTTGATCTGATTTGTATTTTTGTTAATATCCTGCAAATTCATGCACTACATTTTCATAATGATATGCAATTCTTTCATTGATATGTATTGTGATATATTCCATGGTTCAGTGTGATATATATTCCATATCATGGTTTATTGTGATATGCAATACTGTATTTTCATTGACATCTCTAAATTGACATTCATTGTGATAATTGCACTACTCTCAAAGTGATATGCAATACACTCATAGTGATATGCAATACTCTCATTGTGATATACAATACTATCATTGTGATATACAAAACTTTTGATATGCTTAAATATACTTTCATTGTGACATACAAAACGTTTGATATATTTAAATATACATTCATAGTGATATGCAATACCTTCATATGATATGCAATACTTCCATTGTGATATGTTTAATTGATACGTTTAAATAAACGTTCATTGTGTAATGTAATTATACATGTACTTCCATTGTGATGCAAAACTTTGAAATATAAAATACATGCAACATTCCACATAAATCAGTTTCACATGTTTTACCTTCAATAATTTGCTTCCCTATTAAAACATTTATCAACAATTATGCAGAAAATATGTGATTTTGTAACATGGGGTCTATGGGGAATCAACCCGAACAAGAATTCACATTTTTAAAAATAATTAAATTTTCAAAGTTGATAGACAATTTTCAAAACCATATTTCTAGATGTACTTTTACATGCAGATTTCAAATATGAGATCACTTTGACTGAATTTTGAATATTTAATGGCGTAAATCAAGATTTTTTTCTACTTGCATCTAGTCTATTGTATAAAAATCAGAGTATTCTTAAATCTGTTTTAAAGAATTGAGCTTATTAACAAGTCTGAAAGTGATAATTTATAATCTGGAAGTAATAAAACTAAAATATTGACTCTAATGTTGACCATTGCTCTATTATAGTATATGTTCAGATGTCCAAACATTTTGCAAACAATTCTGTGCTTAAAGTGTTTCACGAGTCTGGTTTATTCCTACCCTTTCATACCAAAACTTCCATTCCCATTCCCTATTTTTTTTTACATTTTTATACAATTTCGAGTGTCGACTACATGTCTGTTTACTTTATTCTTCCCTGATTCGACCTGTTTCCATTCTAATTTGCATTTTAAAACATATCCCCTACAACCCTCTCCGCAATATCATATCAACGATTTTATTTACAAACGATCAAATAATTATCAGCCACGAGGAGAGGCTGAGTCCAAAGAAAACATTTGTAGAAATAAATGTATGCAAATTGACATAATCTCGAGTCAGTTTGTATTTCTGATATTTAGTGAATCATTATGTGTGTATCTTCACTCTTACTTTAAATAATCGTTACAGTTCAAGTATTTATTCATCCTTATGTTAGTACAAGAAAAGGAAACGTACTTCAGAATTTCTCACTCTTGTCTTTACCTTTTGCAGTCTCGTTTTGATAAAATATTTGATTGAATAGTCTAATTTTTTTGCATTTCTATACAATTTAGAGTGTTAACTACATGCCTGTTTACTTTATTTCTTGCTAGTTCCACTATTTTCCACTCTCGTTCCAATTAGGAAATAAGTTCTCCGTGATGATTTTCTAATAATTGCTTCTCTTGCTTTACAGTAAATATCAACTTAATTGTGAAATCAATCTGTGTATGAAATAACAATAAAAATATAAAGAAGAACCAGTTAAATATAGTTATTACACAAATATTACAAAATTGAAATAGCTATCAGTCAAATGTAATGAAATTAGTCAAATAGCCATTAGTCAAATATTATGAATCCATCACGATTCTCTTAGTCTTTTGTTTAAACATGTTATTTTATCACTTAAGCAATGAGGAATTACAAGGGGCTATACATAGATAAAGTCTAATCAACAGTAGACTTAGATCTGAATTGCAAATGCTGCGAATCGCTTGTAATCTTGATAGATATAAAAAATGAACTATATACACATAACGCAACATGCTTGACAGATTATTTTACGACGTTATAAGGCAAAGCGATGACTCTATCTCTCTCTATGCCTGTATTTTTATTCATCATTTGTAAAGTAAAGTACCACATCCGCAAGCTTCAGTCCTAGAATTCAGTATCCCAACAGGTATCTTTTAAATCATCAAATTGAGTCAAAAAGAGTGGAATTAACAAGAAATATGGGAAACAGGCATGTAGTTAACACTCTAAATTGTATAAAAATGCAAGAAAATCGAGCAGTTTATTTGGAATCTTAAAGAAAAAGAGTGAAATAATCAAGAAAAGTTAAACATTTTTGGCCAAGTTGTCACCTAATATAATGAAATAACATACAGACTGAATCGCAACCTCTCGTTCAAGTAATCGATAACGGGGCTCTAGAGCATGCTGTTACTATAACAACAATGTTAGCGCAGAACTGAGGTCTTCATACATATAGAGAGAACAAGAGATACGAACAGGAAAATTTAAGAAATTGAATCAACTTTCGCTATAATTGATCAATCAATGATCAACAATGGCACAATGGTAAACAACCAATTAAAACAACGCACCAATCAAATATAAACTTATCATCAGAGACGTTCCTGATGCAGACAGAATTTCTAGTCTTATATGCCAAAATGGGCTGACAATTTGACCAAGGTGTATTGACTTTTCTCCGTTGCAATTATACTCACGTCTGAAAAGAACCCCGGAGATAAAAGCGAAAACATACAATGACGTGGTGTCAGGTTACACGTTGTACCATATTCAACCGGCTTAAATTCTATTTGCTGATCAGACGGATACAATGAACCTTTTCTCGACTCCATATTGGATGATAACTAAATCAACACTTTGTCTTCCCCATATGCCTCAACCCTCGAAAATTCTACCTTATTGGCCAAAAGTGACTTAATTCTCCATAAGACATCCAAAAAGTACTTTTCTTTGTGAAATAACATACATATTGCATCTGCTTTCACCAAATCATATATGTATCTAAGTGTGAATGAGAATTTCTAAATATTTAACAGGTATATTGATAATATTCAGGGATTCTTCCCCAGAATATTTTTCCCGAGCTCTTATTCAATTCCTAAATTTCTCTCCAAAATTTGAATGAAGTGTCTGATTTTTCTGCATTTCTCTACAATTGAATGTACCTACTAAATGCCTGTTTACTTAATTTCTCGTCTTTTCCTCTAGTTTTCACTATATTACACAAGGAAAACACAACCACAGGAATATTTATTTTGAGATTACCACCATACTTTAAATGTAGGCATTCTCTTGGAGTCAATTGTCTCAGTATGGGTGGCCCAATCTTACAAACCGATCAAAATATTATTATCCTTTTGACTAGTGCAATATACAGTTATAAAAAGTAAAATCAGCAAAGAATAGTTCAAAGAAATTGAGAGTTAGTATCCAAAACTAAAAACTAAAAAGTTTTGTATTATTCGTAAGATTGGTTGGGTAGTTCTATAGGGCTATAATGCAACTAGTTGTAAGAACTTTCCGTTATAGGAACACCTTGAATAAATAAACAAAAAATATCTAAAAATCAATAGAGAAAAATACTTTATTCACCTATAAAAAACAATGTTACCCCGGCAAGAGTATACTTGAAATCCATTGTACTTTTGTTTTTCAATGATTTTCAAACTGCATTTTAAACCAGCCTACTTTTACAATTGATAACATGAATACTAAAATCTTCAATTTCCAGTCTTATGACGTCTTTTACCAAAATGAAATCATTTGTATTGTAAAATGGTGTTTACATCAAAATAACTATCTTGAAAGAATTACGAAAATGCATTAACTTTTACTCCTTACTTATGTTTGTTTTAAATACGTAAGTACATGTATGATTTATTCTAAAGCAACAAGTACGGCATGTTTAACAACTGACGGGTGAAATAAATGCTGCATATGTCAAAAAGATAACAAAATACAAATATTTGCAAACCATAATCTAGAAATGCTGTTGCAGCAAAAGTTACACAGTGGGCAAATAAAATCCGAAAGATGGTATATTTTTAAATTCAAAATTAGAACAAAATAAAACAGTTAAAGAAACAATGAAAAGTGTCTGCCTGAAGCTCACATTCCCAATTGTAAAGAAATGCAAAAATTTCAAACAGTTTATTCAAATTTTAGAGAGATATGAGTGAAATAAGGATGAGCAGACGGATTATCTTCTGCAACGGAATTGCGACTATTTGCTTACATCTCTTTAGAAACAGCTTGGACATGTATTGACTTATCTAACTATTGATAAAGATTCTCTTTTATTTTTGTTTTAATTATTATTGGAATATGCAAGTACTCTGAGTAAAGAATCAATTATCAACCATTTCTATTAAACTGAAGTACCCGGGGGTTTAAATATGTTTCCATGATATCTATTCAACTATACAATACATAATTACAAATTGTCATTTATGCCACAAGTATTTGTTACTTTTTAAGAGGTCTTGACAATGTCTGTGTATCAGCTGGGTGCTAAGAAGCATTTTTGAAATTCTTGATATTAACGGAGGGTGAAAAGGTTTACAATTGTCAGACATAAAGAGTGAATATTCCTTCTTTACATAAGCTGAGTAGGGATGGGGGTTGGGGTGAGGGGTTATGACTGCAACAATTTCTCTCATTTTAAATTCTTTCAGACTACTGAGGCAACCAAAAAAGGGAGAGGGTTTAGATTAAAGATCAACAAGGCACTAACATGCAAAACGCACCAACTGCCATTTGTTACAGATGACAACTACTGACTACCAAAGACCAAACATGAACCAAACCACTGAATGCTGAACACCCATCCACAAAAAGGTTGGGAGACCATGTGGAAAATCAGGTGTAAACTACCCTTTTGAAGCGCTTAAATTCTTCCAAACACTATCAATAGA